ACTACTTACTTAGCTCCCTATTTGCAGGCGATCGTAGTAAGTACTTAGATAACTCCTTATTTTGTAAGCTAACATAAAATTAAAGTCTGATAAAGAAAGATTCAAGATCCAGGACTACAGCCAATATTTCAAGGTGTTCCAAACGAGATAACACAAAACAAGTTAGAAGCCCGATCGAATTTCAAAGATTTAATTTAAAGAAATATTTATAGAATACGCCACCCTACAGTCATTCCAAATTCCTGATTCTTAATTGAATAACAAACATTGTAAATTTGTTAATAAACTAGACATTGAAAATTATTTGCAAAAACAAAAACAAACAAATAGAATAACATTAGAATTACAACTGATAATGAAATAATACAAAAAAATCACAATCATGATGATTTTGCAATAATCAAAAACAGTCACTACTGACAAAATTTACCAATATAAATCGAAATGTTTTTAATCAATTAATTGCAAAAGCAAAACACGGACTAATTAAAAAAGTATAAAACAAAAAAGTATGTTTTTTACATTTTTCCTTCTAATTATAGACCATATGAATCAATCAATTGTTCATTAATACTTGAAAAAAAAAATTAATTAAACCTTTTTTCTCTCTCTCTCTTTCTTTGCAGTTTGGCCATTCTACATTATTTTCCGCCTTCTAATATTGAAAAAAAGGAAACAGAATTTTTTAAAATTTAATTGCTGTTAAGAAAAGTAAAAGGGCTCTTTGTTTAGTTTTTCTATAAATAAAACGCCACAACAGAATTATGTAACCAAAGCAGCAAGCATTTATTGAATTTTACAACCAACCCAGCGGTTTCTCCATATACATACTTCTATTATTTATTAATTAATAAATAAATTACAAAAACAAATATTTAACTACAACAATATGGTGAATATATCGGTAAGTGTTGAACATTTTCTTTTGTGCACTTTTTTTTAACAATTGCTACAAATTGTACAGCATTTTAATTTTATTAAAATTTTTTAATTTCTTCAATAACAAAATGTGTTTGATTTTATTAAGCAGGACAGCGGTGGCAAACATGCCCCCCAAGAAATGGAACAATTTATACCCGGCGACGGTTTAAGCGGTAATACAAAGTAAGTGTTTTTTTAATTTCTTTTTATTTTATATTAAAGTTAATTAATTGTTCAATGTTTTTGTATTGAAGCGGAAATCTTTTATTAGATGTCGCTTATTAAATTATTTAATTGCCGTTAGTTGAGCTGAGAATAAAGCAGAGCAACAAAAGTGAGCGTGACAATTTGTTTAAGGTTCAAATTCCAAGATCTTTAAATAAGACTGAACAATAAGTGCAGTTTTAAAATATGAGTTCAATTGAAAATTTATAGTGATGATTTTGATTTAAAGAAATAGGGTGAAATGTTTCTGCCCTAGATGATGCTCTTCCGGTAAATGATGGATATGTTGATAGATAGATAGATAGATAGCATACATACATACATACATACACATACATACATACATACATACATACATACATACATACATACATACATACATACATACATACATACATACATACATACATACATACATACATACATACATACATACATACATACATACACATACATACATACATACATACATACATACAACATACATACATACTCATACATACTACATACATACATACATACATTCATACATACATACATACATACATACATACATACATACATACATACATACATACATACATACATACATACATACATACATACATACATACATACATACATACATACATACATACATAGATAGATATATAGATAGATAGATAGATAGATAGATAGATAGATAGATATAGATAGATAGATGATAGATAGATAGATCGATAGATAGATAGATCGATATCGCTCGATAGATAGCTAGATACTCGCTCGCTCGCTCTCTAGCTCGCTCGCGCGCTCTCTGATCGCTCGCTCGCTCGCTCTCGCTCGCTCGTCCTCGCTCGCTGCTCGCTCGCTCGCTCGCTCGCTCGCTCGCTCGCTCGCTCGCTCGCTCGTCGCTCGCTCCTCGGTCGCTCGGTCGCTCGGTCTCTCGGTCGCTCGGTCGCTCGCTCGCTCGCTCGCTCTCGCTCGCTCGCTCGCTCTCTCGCTCGCTCGCTCGCTCGCTCGCTCGCTCGCTCGCTCGCTCGCTCGCTCGCTCGCTCGCTCGCTCGCTCGCTGCTCTCGCTCGCTCGCTCGCTCGCTCGCTCGCTCGCTCGCTCGCTCGCTCGCTCGCTCGCTCGCTCGCTCGCTCGCTCTCGCTCGTGTCCGTTTCCCTTCCCTTTTCTCCCGTTTGTTTCTTTCCTCCCCGGTCCTGCTCCCTCTCCCCCCCTTCCGCCCGTCTCGTCGGGCCTGGCCTCCCTCTGCTCCCCTCCTTCCCTTCCTTTGTTTGATTCTTCTTTTTCCTCAGTCCCCTTCCCTATGTCTTTATCTTTATCCTTGATTTCTAGAACTGTGGAATTAGGTTCAAGGAGTGAAGGAATTGGATTAGGGTCAGATATGGGCTGATCCCCATAAATTTCGGAAGAAAGATTTATTTTTATATAGAATTAATATAAATCGGGTTTCAGTGCGATACTTTTTTGGGGACATGGATAGTTTGCCAGAGTGGACTGACGAACATGGGTACGCATAAACCCTTCCCACTTTTTCACCTGAACTTTTGGGTCCAGTTTAAAGAAATATTTGCAAAATAAATATAATATTTAAATTAAAAAAAAAAACAGTCATCGTTTTCAAATGTAAACATAAATTTTTATGTAAACAAATACGTGCACAAGCATTAAGCAAATAAAAATGAAATAAAATTAAAAATTTCTAAAAATAACAAAACTATGATAAATTCTGACTAAGAGAAGTACATAACTATTTGCACACACTTTCATACTTATCTAAGTACAAAAATAATTATGAGGTTTCGTGTTTTATTTTATTTTTTTTTTTATAAATTTTAATTAGTGGTCAAATGTTAATAATATGATAACATGTTATATTTTTTCAAACATATAGCTATTATAAGCGTTATTTTCTCTATTCACTTTATAAATTTTCAGTAATTTAATATTTATTTAAAATATTGATTTTAGACAAACAATAAAAAAATATTCCGTTTGATATTATTTATTACGTATTTGTTATTTTGCTATTATTAATGGAAAATTAACAAGTAATTAGACAATCCTTTAAAATTTAATCTATATTTTAAATCTTATTTGCGAATTCATTTCGTTAATGAAATATTTAGTGGCAAAAAAATGACAACAAAACTTAGGGGAGATTAAACTAAATAATAATATAGCCGATTAAAAAAGAAAAAAGTCAATTGCAAGTGTCATTTAATGATAATACAGAAAAATAAGTTTTGTTTTTATTTTTAAGGAAGAATTCTATTTGTTTACAAAGTACAAAGTTTCTATCTGTTGTTATGTGTGTAAACTTTTCAATGTCATAGGTAGGGTCTGGGGTTTGTACATGACAACAGTGATTAGAGATTGCCAGTTAGATAACTAAGAGCAAATCAGTCAATATAAAGTTTTCGTTTAAAAAAATTACAAACCATTAATGAGAGAGAAAGAGAAGAAGGATTTGATAGACCATTTTTTAGTCTTATTGCACATTGTGAGCTAGACAAGACAGCACCGCCACTTTGTGTCTCACAAAGAACAAGGTGGCAATTTTTGTACATGGTTCCTCCGGTACTGACACTTGCTGTCCGGTTTCCTAACTTCCGAAATGCAAAAACATCACTCTGTTGACAGCACCTTGAGATTTGGTAGATGAAAATACAAATCCATCAAACAATCCAAACAAAAGTTCTTAACTAACAGAGAACACACTGCTGTGAGTCTGATATGAACAGAGTAAACCCTAAATATCGCTTCTTTGTGTCTCGCACATGAAGTTGGCAATTTTTGTACATGGTTTCGCCGGTACTTGGGTCATCTAATCTCTGACCCTTGCTGTCCCATTTCTTAACTTCCGACATGCAAAAACATTACTTCCGTTTACAACCACTCGGATGGGATGATGTCTGTTGATTCGGCAACAGCACCTTGAGACGTAATTGGAAGAGGAAAATACCATCGAATCCATCAAATAATCCAATGACAAGTTCTTACTAACAGGGTACGCACCAATGGTATCACTTGTAAAGATATATGATATACTCCCTACATTCTTCCCTTATCATATACACTTAACACCAACTCATTTCCAACGCTTAGCCACACAGTCACTACTCTAAAGGTCATCTGCTGTCTCGGCAATAGCACCTTGAAACGTAATACGAATCCAGCAAATAATCCATACACAAGGGAACACACTGTGGTAAGTCTGGAATGAACACAGTAAACCCTAAACCCTGAACATACTCTGTCAAGGAAGTGAAATAAACTGATGTCACTTTTATAAGATATTCAACTCAGTACACTTCTCATTTATCATTACCTATATTCTTCCCTTATCGTATACACTTAACACCAACTCATTTCCAACGCTTAGCCACACAGTCACTTCTCTAAAGGTCATCTGTTGCCTCGGCAATAGCACCAAACTTATCCAGAAATTTAGACTTTACCGTGCCTTCAGCCTTTAAAGCAACATTCTCTTCCGAGAGTTTGGGTTTAAACCTTATTCACTACGTGTACCCTGAAAAAAAACCTCTCTAATAACAAAGTTCGAAACTCTGCCCTATGAGCTACCGGTTCCCGTGGTACCAGATTAAATGCCTCTCCCTTTCTTGGTGAAATCATTTCAAGAAAATACCGAGGATACATTTGACATCACCAGTTTATAGTATCGGCAGACTAGAGGTACTTGGAAACCCCTCTTTACCCCGGATTGCAATCACACACATACACCTAGGGTTACAGGTGTTCTACTTTGGGGTACTCTGTTCACGCCCCCGTTGATCGCATGTAGTCCAATTCAAAACAAAAACTCTGCAACACCTCGTCTTTACAGGTTACAAGTTTATTTTCCTCTATTTTCCTAGTTATCCCACCCAGAACTATTCGCCATAATTCAAAAAATTTTATAAAAAATTCCATTGTGACAATCATGTGACGAATGTTTTCTAATCACAAATCAAAATACGCTTAATTGGCTTAAATATCCACTTAAAATGCTATTTTTGTAAATATTGATTCGATTAAATTGAATCAATAGTAAATTATTTAATAAATTTACAACGCCACTGTAGCAATTTAATTGAACAGCCTAAAAGTATGCTTTTGCTAAAAAGAGAAATTCTACATACTAACACTTAGCAAAATTTATTTTAAAACGCGATTGTTACTAAATGGTCATAATAACAAACAAAAAAATGATTCCACTAAAACAAAAGAAAAACGATCGCTGACCATAAAGTTGCAAACATGATAAGCTGATGCAATAGAAATGGACAAGCCAGTCAGTCGTCCCATAATTCACACAAACCGATTAAATGTAAAGAAAATCAACGTCAAAAAAAAAAAGAAAATGTCTGAAGCGGCAAATGCTGTTCATTTGAGCTGAGCAAGCAGAAATACTTCTCCTATTTAGAAGTTGATTGTACGTTGTAAAATGTTGTCGTCGTTTCGTTATGCTAGTTGTTGTTGTTTTAAATTTGAGTAGAAAATATCACCGATATTTAGACATATTCACACTTTATGTATGTTGTGTATATTTGAGCTTTTAAACCTAAAACAGAGCAGAGTATTTGGTGGGACAAATTACTGTTGCCTTTTCTGTTTTGTTGGGCAAATTGATGCGGCAGAATAAAACTGTTAATGTTGCAAAAATAAACAATAAACAATTAATGTTGATTAGTACTTTATGTGTGCTGCGACTACTACTTTTGTTTTTTGTAGTTGTTGGTAGTTATTGGTGCTTTTAATGGAAAAAAGAATTTCACTGTAAATCTAAACTTTTGGAGAAGATAGACTTCAAGCTTTGCTGTAAACGATCATAAAAACAGTTGTCTTTTAAATTGCCTACAAAACGGTCGAACATTTTCAATTGGAGCGGGAATAAAACGAAATCGAAACGTGTTTGAATAGAAAATTTTAAAAATGAGTGAACCTTTAAGTGAACCATTGGAATTAAGGCAGGTTTTTTTTTTGCGAAAGGATCTGATTCAGTGAAACAAAGAGAAATACTCAAAACCCAAAGAATTTTCTAATAAATTTTATTGAAATTTCAAAATACGTTTCGAAATTTTTTGTAAAAAAATATAAACTAAAGTTTTTTTTTTACAAAATTTTGTTAAAATCTGCTATGAAATACAAATATTAATTTAAAATAAAATGTGCTGAGAATTTCAAACCGAAACATGCTAATAAAATGTTAGGTTAAGTTTTTCAAAATTTCTTCTTTATTCGAAAGTGAAACGCAATCATATTTGTTCTATATTTTTATAAATTTTGAGTTCTTTTTAAATATTAAAACACTAATCTTTCATTAAAGGTTTAATTTTAAGAAATTAAATTCAAAATTATTTGAATTTTTAATATTTTCAAAAAAAAATATTAAAAATTAAAGAAAATATGTCGTAGTCTTTATTATTTCAATTAATTTAATTAACAATTCCCTTTCATTTCTTAATTTCAGATATAAAATTCAACCTCGCAAAGATGCCGAACATGCTTTAACCCAATCCGATTTTGATCCCTTTTTGGCCCGTCAGAATGAGCATCCCACAACGTAAGTTCTTTATTATATTTCTTTAAAAATTTTCAATTAATTTGTTTTTGTATTTTCATCCTTTTTAGAGATAATGAAACCTTAACACATTTGCTGAAAGCCTCTCTTGGTACTGGTATTCTTTCTATGCCCATTGCTTTTATGTACTCCGGTATTATAATGGGTATTTTTGCTACTATAGCTACCGCTATAGTCTGTACACACTGCAGTTATGTATTGGTAAGTGAAAGAGGTATTTGATTTCTAATATACCTAAGTAGATATGTATATATGGCAGAGGGCCTTTAATGGGAATTTGAGTCAATTAAAGATCGAACTCTTAAGTTTAAGGGCATGATTTACTTTGATTTTTAAACGATTTATGGACAAAAGGAAGATTTTCGATAAGACGGATATATAAGGGGGGTAGGGTGATATCAGTACCGATCTCGCCCCTTTTCAATACCAAACAAACTTTATCAGTAGAGAATATTTTTGGAGATGTCAGCTCTCAAACTGCTCAATTTTAAACCCTATGGTTAGACCGTCTTAGAATCTAATATGGACCTAGAATATATTTTTTATTGTGAGTTTACCACCAGTATTTGATGCCTTATAGCTTTTTGAATTGATTGATCTTAATTTGTAAAAATTTTTACCATGAAATTTCTTTTTTAAACTTTTTAAGTGCGTGTTTTTTTTTCTATAAAAAATATATTAAAAGCCCAACTATTCGTTGCTTATTCATTGGTGACATATTCTTTAAAAAAACGTGCGCATTCTTTTCATCACATTCGACCTTAAGTTACACAATTAAACATA